TAACAAGTTACTGATAAATAGAAGATTTTTCTTTGTGAAAAATACTTTGATTTTTACGCAGTAACTTATCGGGGTAAACTAAAAAGTTTGCCCTTCTACACTTGTATAAAGTTCTCCATTATAATTTTTATATTTTTCAGATTGTGAAAGGTAACAAATACCCAAAAAAGGTCGATAAAAAATCGTCTTCTTGTTTCGTCTGTCAAGATATTTAGGTTGCTTACTTACCTGAACACATCGTATATATGGTTGAAAATAGAATTATGAATCTACTGACAAACTGCTGAATTAGCAGAGCACTAAAACAAGCAAGAAAGTAATCATGCATTTATGAATATAATCGTATTTGTTATTCTAAGATTAAAGCTACGGTGAAATACTAAATTGATTTCTGGAAAAATATCCTTATCGACTTTGCACGTGTTGGCGAGGAATGATAAATAGACATGTTAATTCCTGTCTTATTCGTGACTAACTTCATACAAGGTCGTAAAGACTCACGGCTCCATCTATGAATACAGATATAAATGTATGTCCAGCTATATCGAATATTAAACTCTATCTCGTGCATACACGACACCTTTTCAGAGACGGGCAAAAAAATGGGTGCAGTGTGTTTGTTAACGGTATAATTCAAAGGAATATCTATTTATACCGCCTTCAAAATAACAATGTTTTTCATCAATACCCTTCAACTTAATACTTATTTGTTGGAGAATGTCTTGGTTACTCATAAACATATTTTCACATTTGTCATAGTTGATTTGTTATTGTATTTGTTGTGAGATTTTTCAAGTGTGGTGACCATTCTGGCTCGTCCTGCATATGTGTTCCTATAGCTGTCGATATATTTTATTATAAAAAACAAGATAGCATAAGGTTGTCATAATAAGAAAAAGTCAGATTGTTAAAATTGATTATTTCAAAAACTAACATTTTGAATAAAAGTATTTTGAGTTATTCTAAGCAAGAATCAATTCCATAATTGGTGACCCCAACGTGATTACGACATATCCATGCCCCTGAGCAATTCCAATGAGGCGTTGGATTCGTACAATCATTTGGAGATATCTTGAGTGAGGTCGAGTAGAAACTGTTTGTCGTCTTTCCTCCCCCTTAGCCCGAATATGAAAGTAGAAGGCTTGGGGATGTTTGTGTAACAATCCCGTTTGGTTTGCGTGGATGTTGTCTGTTTTGGATAGGTTTGAATCGCCATTGTGTTTCTGCAGTCGGACTTCATAGTCTGGGTCGACATTAAAGCTTCTCTTTTGTAGTCCCACCTGTTCCATTTGTATTTTGGATCAATATTGACAGGAAAAATATTCTCCAAGATCGTTCCTTTATTTTCTGTTCCTTTGGCAAGCTTCTTCTGTTTCACTAACTGGTTGATGTTCATTACTTTCTCTAACTGGTCTTTCAGCTGCAGAAAGTTTATTAATTGAGGTTTTCTTCTTCCCAAATCCAAGACGTGTCTTATGTACCGATCAGGATTCTTCGAGAAACTCTCACATGCTTCTGGAGTGGAAAAAACATAACTCAAGTTTTTATATTTCACGATGCCCATACTTGGGTTTCTAGGAATCAGACCCCCGTCAGTTTCGACAAATTTCCAGCAGCAGAAGCCTAGAAACTGCAATCGAACCTTGTCGATGTTTTGGAAGTTCTCGATGCGAAAAACTTGTACTTGTTCATTGGTGGACTTGAGAGAACAATTGGCGGTTTTTTCTAGTCTTTCGGCATCTGTGACAGCCGGCTGGTTATCCAGCCATTCTTTGTTGTAGTCCAGATTTCTGGTGTACACCTCCAAGCTGATCATAATGTCGTGCAGTTTAGACATTAGTATTACCTGATTTTGCATATTGACCCACAAGTCCGACAATTTTTCGAATAATGAAAAAATGATGCTAACGGGAAGGGCGATTCTCATATGGACAGTTCTGTGAATTTTTCTAAGCAAGTTATCGAGNTTCATTAATAATAATAATAATGTAATTGATGTATATAATTCATTTGTAATAAAATTCAATTGTATCTATATATATATTGTTCATAATAAAAGTTTCTTGAAAATTGAATAATCATTTTATGTTTATTGCTATTTGGTCCAAAAAAATCTTGTTAAAATGACTTTTAACACACTACTTTGTAAACATCATCCTTTAATACGCTTAGCAACCATTAAAAACGTCACTTCCAATGACAATTGTACAAAAATAGATTTATTCTGATTTCAGACCTATTAAAAGTCATAGCAATATGACTAATTATGGATGTTGAACACAATCTTGAATTAGTTTCGAATAATTTTTCAGTTTTCAGTTTGTGTTGCTATTAAAGCGTGTTCTTTAATTTTTTCATCTATTCATTACTTATAACAAACTCCGATGCCCACACAAGTATTAGTTTTGATTCCTTTCACTGGGCTTTCGAAATATCCTTCTGAAAACAGTACAGAAACATTTTTTCAATACTCATAATATTATGGCTTGAATAATAACTAAAAATCTATTTATAGTTACCCAAATTAGTGCATCACCTATCTGTTCGACTAGATGGAACGAACCTTGGATAAGGCACTCTGAATTGGCGCCACGCTAGTCTACCCCAAAGTACTTCTTCGTGTTGTTTGAGTGTTTCTTATCTAGAGTTTTATGGTGTATCCGGTGTGACTAAGTCGTCTGTAATGGGTCTGAGAATTCCTTTTATTGAAGTTTTATCTTCTTGAACCGAAAAAATCCGTCTGCCATATCTTTTTGAAGACAAATACATAAGAACACGTTCAGATAATTTTCAAATTCGATACATGAATGTGCCATTAAAATATTAAAACCCTTTCAGGTGAAATCGGTTTCGCTGTTCAGTTTCGGAATTGTTTACCTGAATAATATTCGACCCCCAAGGCAGGGATTTCAAAAACTTCAAAATATTCTTTGATATAAATAGGCAATAAAATTGTTGTTTTTTCAAAATTTTTGTAGAAATAACTAACTATATTTGAATATTACTGGAGGTTTATCGCCAACACCAAACCGTTATTTTCAACATCTCGACACGTGTTTCAATCACCAAGTGATCATCTTCAAAAGGAAGATTAAACTAAATCTACATACAACATAGATATAGTTCAAGTAAACGATATAGTGCAATCTACCTTCTTGGCACTTCTCAAACTGGAGTGCCAAGAAGATGACAGTACTACCAACTGTCGAAAGCGCTCGCAGATAATTAATAGAAGATATAAAGCTTCAAATCCTTTTTGTAAAATTTAATATTGAAATACTCCTCAAACTGGAGTGCCAAGAAGATGACAGTACTACCAACTGTCGAAAGCGCTCGCAGATAATTAATAGAAGATATAAAGCTTCAAATCCTTTTTGTAAAATTTAATATTGAAATACTGAAAATAAAGGAAAATTAGTTGCATCATTCAA